TACAGATTGCTGTCAGGCAAGCAAAAACACAACATGTGGATATTGTTAAGAACTTTGGCAAACAATACGAAAATAATGCCAAAACCAGAGTTTGTTTACACGAACTACATTTGGACATGGACTTAAGCGTAACCCTTAATCACTCCTGGCGTCCTCACAGAACATTTACATTATCATTTTAGGAAATAGGGTGTTTGGAAGAGCTCAAATTATATTATAGGTGTTGTTTTTGCTTAAAGTGTTTCTTTGTATACTCTGCGGGAGAAAAAAGGGTTGTGGCTTGTTGTCAAATGCGTCATTCAGTAACAAACTCTTTTTGTGTGTGTATGTGCGTTTGCAACTGAGTGTGTTGTTTGCGTAGCCTCATATTCACAAATGTAGCTTCATTTAAACCCACCACCAATAAAAAAAAGTGCCTACTGGAACATGCGGCTCGTAACTCCGAGACACGGCCTCAGAAGCTCAGACTGACGTCTTATTGGCGGGCCAGCTCTGGGATCTGCACCTGTCTCTGGTACACACACACACACACACACACACACACACACACACACACACACACACACACACACACACACACACACACACACACACACACACACACACACACACACACACACACACACACACACACACACACACACACACACACACACACACACACACAGGAACCCACACACTGATACTGCATGCACACACCAGAGACATTCTCACTTACTTTGTACATACATGCGCCACTTCAAAAAGAGTTTAAAAGGTTATAACCTTGTCATGAATTGCTTTGGTTGATTGTGCTGTGTGTAATGAAAGAAGTGCTAATGAATTGAGTGCTCACTACAAAACCAAAGCTGTTTCTCTGATCTTCCTTTGCCTTTACACAGCCAGCTTCACCCTCTCATGTTTATGGTTGATGACTGTCGTCGAAGCCTGCTGTCAAGCATCTGTACTAATAGGGCTTGATTGCCTGCTTATTAACTTGAATCTTGTTAATTGAGGAGATCAGATGAAGGAGATGTGTCTCCTTTTGAATTAAAGCTAACTTGCACGGGCCACACACACACACACACACACACACACACACACACACACACACACACACACACACACACAGATATGCACATTGTGTGGTGCCTCCATACGTCATGCAACATATTATTGGAGCGCCTTACTCTTTCACTCTACAAATTAAAAGCCACAGAGTAGCTCATTAATATTCCAGCCAGCTTCAGCGTACTGTGAGAATATTTGTGTTTGGTTATTTAACAGTAAGGACCAACCAGAACTTGTCCCCTGGAGCAAGATGAGAGAAAGTGACCGAGGAGAAGATACGTTTTTTCCCAAGGGAATTATTTCCCAAGAGGATCGCCTGCTAGACATTAGACTGATGTGTTTTTTATCCAAATCTCAAAATTATATTACATATTTATTAAGTATGTTTTTGGCATTATATACGTAACCTCTCCGTTGTGGAAGTGTTTTCAGTATTTGCATCCCTCCTCTACTCTTTCCTCTCCATCTCAACCCTGTATCTTCTATCATAAGTGCCCCCCCAACCCTTCTACACACACACACGCACACGCACACACACACGCACACACACACGCACACACACACACACACACACACACACCTTGTCTTCCCCCCTAGGGGGCGTTGTGTAGTTGTGCAGTGCTAACGATCCCGGACTGTCACTCCCGCTGGGATGGATGAGCCGGCGGGCCCGGCGCTCAGGAAGCCTCATTAGGATTCCTCTTTAATCCGTCTCTGACAGGACCAGTCCGAGAACGGGATGTCCCCTCACACACACACACACACACACACACACACACACACACACACACACACACACACACACACACACACACACACTTACACACACGCGGTAGAACCATAGCCACTGCATAGACATCACAGAATAACACACAAACACAAATGCACTTTTGCCCATACACAATGAACAGACTCACTGACACCCCCATCACACACATTGTTATGCTAATGATTTGTTATTCTTCCACCAACAAGGATCTTCCATCATCCCGGTGTCACTGCCTATAGAAATCCACTACAGATCATAAGAGCTTATTATGGGTGATTAGTTAATTTGAGGGGGGGGGACGCTGGGAGGTAGGAAGAGAAATATCGTTTTCCTTCTCTGCTGTCATCTCTAAAACTCTCTCGCTCTCTCTCTCTTGCTCTCCTTCTTTCTCTCCTTAGCGAAATATATTGATCAGCACGTTGACTGTGTTATCAATAATCTCCTCTTTAGTCGTCCACAAACAGTGATCTCCACTAATGAACCAGCACAGTTGTCACACGGCTCTTTCTGTGCGTCCGTGTGTGTTTGTGTGTTGATGTGTATTTGCCTGTTAGGGAGAACACAAGCCTGAAGAATGAAAACTAGTAAAGGAAATAAGAAGTGATAAGAGGTATTGAACTTTTACAACTATCTGTAAGTAAGATAAACTCCAATCGACTGTCATTATTTGTATGATTATTGATACATTTATAATGATAGCATAGTCGAGAAAAGTGTTATGACTACTTCCGCCGTGTGTATCACAACTAACTTCAACTATTTGGCCAAACAAACAGTAAAATCACCATAAATCTGAGCAATCTGTCACCAAAAGAAACTGTCCTTATATTACACTAAAATAGACTAAGTCAGGCATATAAATGACATTAAAAAAGACAACAGAAAGTCACAGAAAGGATCAGAGTCTATCATGTCTATGGTCTGTGAACCATATGTGTGTATGATGGGTGTGTGTGGCGGCCTTATGTTAAGCGTGTGTTTGCCGTGGTCCATCGGCAGCTGCCGCAGTGTGGGCTTCGTTGTGTGGCCCTAATGACCTGCTGACAGCTCAGCACTGACACACACACACACACACACACAACACACACACACACACACACACACACACACACACACACACACACACACACACACACACAGTGTAGTGGCATCATACACTTGACAACAGAAGAGCCAATTAAAGAAGGGGGAGGAAAAAGAGATGTATATTTATGTTTATGGATCATAGTACAGTAAGTCTCCTCGCCTCCCATATCCTTTCCCCTTATTTCCTCTACCCTTATTTCCTCTCCTCTGTTTTCCCTCTCCCCTCCCCTCTTCTCCCCTTTTTTCCTCTCCCCTCCTCCTCTCCTCTCCTCCCCTTTCCTCTGCAGTAAAGTCTATAATGTGACTTCAGCTGTTTTGTCCCTGGTAATTCCCTTTTAATTATTAACACTGACATTATTAGGCTTTCACTATTAAGAGCCCTTTCATTAGAGCCAGACGACACCCTAAAGAGACATTTGAACTATCTCTCTCTCTCTCTCTCTCCTCTCTCTTCTCCTCTCTCTCCTCTTCTCTCTCTCTCTCTCTCTCTCTCTCTCTCTCTCTCTCTCTCTGCCTTCCCTTTTCTTCCTTTCCTTTTCCCAGATAACTGAAAAGTCCCTTTGCATGCAGAGTCACAGTCTTTTTACTTCAGTACTTTTCTAAATATTGTGTTTGAGATCAGAATGATATTACATTGTTGTCCCTGTGTGAGTTTGTGTATACATTATGTGTGTACCAGCTGTGCTCTGTGTTAATGTTTGGAGTTATTCAATAAAGCATGCAAGGAACACTGCCATTGCACAGGAGACTCAGGCCTGCTGGGTCGAGCCCACTCTGAAAGGGGTTAGTTCTGCATTAAGGACCCTGTGGGGTGGGCAGAGGGGGGGGTGAGGTTGCCTCCCACAACATGGCACGCTCCTTAAGCCATCAGGCACGGTGAGGGACGTCTAATTGAACATGATAAAGTGTAAAGTTAATTACCCCTCACGCCTGTCACTGATACCCCCATGAGGGGGGCTGGCCTTAGGCACAGCTGTTGGTGTGTGTGTGTGTGTGTGTGTGTGTGTGTGTGTGTGTGTGTGTGTGTGTGAGTGTGTGTGAGAGACAGAGAGAGTAAGGGTGACAGGACAAAAGGCAAAGGCTCCCACGAGGGTTGTGCAGAGGATGATGGCAACAATCGGCTTTTAAAGATACCTCTGGCCCTCTGGTGCTCGACTACTTAACACGCCTGTCCCACTATGAGTCCAACACACACACACACACACACACACACACACACACACACACACACACACACACACACACACACACACACACACACACACACACACACACACACACACACACACACACACACACACAGTACACATTTGACCTTTTACACACTGTTGTTAGTGTTGAAACAGTCAAGTGGCTGATGTATTATGTTCTTTTGTGTGGCAAATCTACACATTTGAGTTGGATACACCTGTTTACTTAGGCTCAAACTGCGGCTGCGCTATTTTTATTTGTCACGTTTAACTCACTCTTTGACCTTGTATAAAAGTGTGTAGTGTGTTGCAGGCAGAGCTGTTAATCTTTTCATTATGTCATGATCTGATTCGATTTTGGATTTGTGAAAAATCATTGCATGAAGGCATGAAATTACGTATAACGTAATTAAACATTATTTGAAGAAAAAAAAAGATAAACTCCCTTGCAAACCTTAGACAAATGGTATTCATGCTACACTTGGGCATTAGTAACATTTCACTTTTTTGTTTAGTATTTCTCAATCCTCAGTTAATTAAAAAATAACAAGTATACAAAAAAAAATAGGCTGTCTGATAGATAAATAAATAAATATTGGTAGGCAGTTCACACAATAATGCTTAATACAACTTTGACTTGGTGTGTAGGATTGTCCTCATTGTATCTTAATCTATGTTTGTAGAAAAACATCTTCAATTTTTTTAAGTTGTGAATCAAGTCAGAATATTACAATATGAATTCTTACACGAATCAATTTTCCCTCCAACACTATTTTCAGGTCCACAGGTCTGGGTCGTACTATTTCAGAGCCAGGGGATGGACGTGATGAATGTGTGTACTCAAGCACAGCGTGTGTTCACCTGAGTTAACATCAGCACAGTTTGAACATGTGTTCTGCGTTCAGGTGTCGGCGCTGCCAGCTTGGCCAAACTGACCTTCATGGTGGGGGGAGCGGAGGAGGAATACAACGCTGCGCAGGAGCTGCTCACCTGCATGGGAGCCAATGTTGTCTACTGTGGAGGGGTTGGCACTGGACAGGTAAAGACTAATGCATGCTAACACACACACTCTCACACACTCACTGCCTTGTTTCAGTAACTTAAACACATACTGTACTTTATATATGAACTTACTCCTTTCCATGATTTGCGTCTTTTCATTGATTACATTATATTTTATTTATTTTATTAATAGGTATTTCTTTTTTATCCTATTTATTGATTTTGTCTTCTTTTATTTTACCGAAAGGGATCACCATTTCTTTGTGTTTTATTTTTGATTAGCTTTTACTGCTGTGTCTCTTAAAGTGTTTTTATTTATTTTTTTATTTGATGCTGCATGTAAAACTCTGGTTGTGTTTTAAGTTGTGTTTGTGCTGCCCCTGATGCAAGAAAAGTGCTATACAAATAAAGCTTATTATTATAAAAATAAACAACTCATGGTTTGTGTATTTAAATATTTATAAAATGCACTATAATATTGTTCATTTTGAACTTTTAAATGATAGTCCATTATTCTACCATCTTGCCTTTAACATAATAAAAAAGGAATCTTAAGCAGTTTGAATATCACACTTTCAAATCAAATCAAATCAAGTTTTATTTATATAGCACATTTTTAAAACGATTTTTGGTCGAGCCAAAGTGCTGTACATACAATACAAATACTTTACAATAAAAACACTTTACAACAAATACAACAGCACAAATAAAAAAATCACACACAGGGAAATGTCAGGAGTCGTGCTCCGCTCAGACTAGAAGACCAGAGAGAAGAAGTGAGTTTTAAGTGTTGATTTAAAAACCCCTAGGGTCTGGGCCGACCTCACATGGAGGGGCAGAGTGTTCCAGAGCCTGGGGCCAGCTGCTGCGAAAGCTCGGTGCCCTTTAACTTTTGAAAATTATTTAAAAAATAACTAATCCAGGAATTGTCATGCTTGATGTCTTAGTGAAATATCTTTGTAGGTAGCCACTTGATTGGCACATTCACAAGTCTATAGTATCTGAGTATGATGTACCTTTTTAAATGTATTCACATCCTGTATTACATGTTGTCTTGGAAACCTCATTATACACAAAATAAAAGTGCCTGTTCTGTTTTAATTGAATCTTCTGTAGGCCGCTAAGATCTGCAACAACATGCTCCTGGCCATCGGGATGATTGGGACCGCAGAGACAATGAACCTTGGCATCAGGTACAGTCGGCCGATGCTGCGCTAAGCTGCTTCCTGCCTGTTATCCTAAAGGGAAAAGCAAGGATGAAGATAGATTTACATGGGAAAGGTTAATGTAGCTGTAACACTTTGCAGCAGAGCAAAGACATTCTGACACAGGGAAACCTCTGATTGGGCTATTAAAAATGGATATACCTTACTTCAACTTATACCACCTAAGCTGTTAAATGGAAAATGAGCTAGTAATCACAATATGTTGCTCGTGGAGACCAGTGAGGTGTAACTTCATGTCAAAACCAGCTGTTCAGTAGATCCAGTGGGCTTCCTTTTTCTTGTTGAGGGATGTAGAGCAGTAGACTTTTCCTCCCGAGTCAAGCAAAATCAAGATATTTGTTTGTAAGCCGTACAATCACCATGATCTTCGAGGTGGCACGTTTGAGGGTCCCTTTGATATAGCTGTGTGTGTGTGTGTGTGTGTGTGTGTGTGTGTGTGTGTGTGTGTGTGTGTGTGTGTGTGTGTGTGTGTGTGTGTGTGTGTGTGTGTGTGTGTGTGTGTGTGTGTGTGTGTGTGTGTGTGTGTGTGTGTGTGTGTGTGTGTGTGTGTGTGTGTGTGTGTGTGTGTGTGTGTGTGTGTGTGTGTGTGTGTGTGTGTGTGTGTGTGTGTGTGTGTGTGTGTGTGTGTGTGTGTGTGTGTGTGTGTGTGTGTGTGTGTGTGTGTGTGTGTGTGTGTGTGTGTGTGTGTGTGTGTGTGTGTGTGTGTGTGTGTGTGTGTGTGTGTGTGTGTGTGTGTGTGTGTGTGTGTGTGTGTGTGTGTGTGTGTGTGTGTGTTTTATGGAAGTGCAAAGGGGTCAGCCCAGCCCCGATTGGGAGCCGCCTATGCTGGAGAGAGATGGATGAGGGGGCGGAGCCAAAGATTCTGATTTACATCTACTGATTGAGCTCTCACCAGTATCCTGTCACAAGCCTGTCATTGAACACCGCCTAGATATCCCATCATTCATCATGGCACAAAGGCTGAGAATGATGGGATATGAAGTCTTCTGAATTAAACCAAATCATTTGGATATGACCTAAAATATGTGGCTCATCGAAGGATTCAAAAGTATCTTAACATCCAAATCAATCAATCGTTGGTTAAATTGTTAGGAAATTAAGTCTACACATCAGTTATTCTTCACATGAATGAATTAACCTGAGCCATCACAATAGTTTTTTTGACCTCACAAATGTGAATTTATAATCTACTTTATTATTACACATCCCCTGCCAATAATAGACTGTTCCCTCTGTTTAGTGTGTAACTATTATGCATTTGTATGGGTTTTGCACCTTAAATGGTTTGTGTTTGTGTGTGTGTGCGTGCATGTACGCGAATTGCTTTTCTCACAGTGCAGCTGTGTTAGTGCCGCTGATTTATCTGTGCTGAGACAGAGGAGGAAAATTGGCATGAGCAGTCGCACATAAATCCCCCCACTAGGCCTCTGAAATATGGAGGCATTAAGGGAGCAACACAGATTTACACATTGCCACACTGTCTCTAATGCACACACACACACACACACACACACACACACACACACACGCACACTTTGACACACAGATTTACATCCACAGACACTGAAGACAGCAGTTTTCTAGCAAACTGCGACAGACTGTGCACATCATTGTAACATATGCCAATGAATAAAAGGATACGAATGCTAACTACGGCATCCTTTCACTTTGATTGTGAATTATTTTTTACATGCAAACTGACCCTTCAGTTATTCAGTTATGATTGTGTGTGCGCATACATGCATGGTGTGTGTGTGGGTTTCCATGTCCCCCCCCTTCTTACTAACCAATCTCTGGGGCTTTATTATGGGGTTTGACAAAGACTGTCATCGTTTAGAGAGAGCCCACACCCGTAAATCTCCCATGCTGCATTGCGGCCCAGCCTCTTATGCAGAGAGGGCGCTCTCTTAGCCGTATATGCACACACACACACACGCACACACACACACACACACACACACACACACACACACACACACACACACACACACACACACACGACACAGTCATACACAAAGGAGACTGAACACTCACTGCCAATTTACAGGAAAATGGCAATAACATTTTATCATGCTGGACTTGGGCCTGATAGAGCTGCCCTTTCTCGAATATGTGTATGAGTGTGTGTGTTTCTCCCCACACACACACACACACACACACACACACACACACACACACACACACACACACACACACACACACACACACTTAGACACATACATGCACAGTTCTGTTCGTGGAGCTAATTTGTTGATCTCAGATGGAAGCTCGGGCCGTCTCCAACAGAGCGTGACGTTTTCTTAGTGCAAGGAATGGCCACGCATGACAATTATGAGCACACACACACACACACACACACACACTTCCCTCCCAGCCCGCATACACAGCCTATTATTTGCCGTCCTTCTCGATTGGCTTTTTTTCCCCCATTCCTGTTTTCTGTACCTCCTCATTTTTATTCTTTCCTTTTAATCCCTTCATTTCTCCTCTGTCTGCCATCATTTTTGCACGCAGCCAACCAGTCAGTGGTAGAGGGGGGTGAAAATCTGCGGAGAGTAGCGGAGAGACGGGCAGCAGTGATTTTAATGATGCACATGAAGATGAAAGGAGAGGAAAAAGAGAAGAGAGGCGACTGGCCTAGGAAGGGATATGAGGCTTTTTACGGTTCACCTTGCACATGTGTACCTGCACTCATTCATGCATAAAGACAAGCACTCACAAGTAGGGACACACATATTTGCTCTTTAATTCTTTTATGAGGAAGACAACAGGCGGATCTAAGGGCATAACAACAAAACCCTTTGTGTTGAGAGACAGAAGTAGGTTTGCCACAGGACACACAGATACACATCTCTCCCCCCTTTTAATGAATTGTGAGCATATGTTCAGATGAAAATTAAAGTTGGGTGATAAACGCGCTTGTTGCCTCTATAAATGGGATAGTAAACGCTTGTGTGTGTGTGTGTGTATGTGCTCGTTAGCTCTGTAATGTAATAATAAATTGGGCACGGGTTGGCTTCCTCTCCTGTGGCATCAAACGAGGACGAGAAGCTAATCGCAATGAAACAGACAGTTAATATCAGCGCTGCAAATGAACTCCACCTGCTAGAGCCCTCCAGCACATCAACACCCTCCTCTCTTTTCTTCATCTCTCTCCCTCTCACTCTCACATTTCTTTAATGTGCAGCGGCATCGCACAGCAACACGTTTGTTTCACCGTTTGTGTCTTTGTGTGTTTATCCATGTCAATCTTGTTAAAGCGTGACATGTCCTCTTCTCCACGCAAATTACCGCAGGCGAGGAACAACACCACTGCGTCAGCTAATAACCACGGCGGTGTGTGTGAGTGGCTGTGCGGGTCTGCGTGTGTGATGGGAGCAGGAGGGGAACTTCATTGATTTATCGTTAACAGAGGACAACAGCTCCCCGTCAGCGTCTCTGGTCGCTATAACAAACGATCTGTGCGCTCGGACGCGCTTTATTATAGCTCAGCCAGTAACCTTTTCAGCTGCTGACCCAGAACGCAGGGAGGGGCTGCCTGCTTGTGTGTGCGAGAGAGTGTGTGTGTGTGTGTGGAGAGATGGGGGGTTTGTGCGCGGTGTCAAACATATGTCCCCTAGAGTCCTCAGACAGGGAGGTGTCAGCGGGGAAGACGAGGGGGAGGAAGAGGAGAGAAGGCGGAGGAGGAGATGAGAGGCAGGATGGCGAGGGATGCTTCAGACGGAAACTAAAAAAGCCATCATGAGCGAGACTGACATTAACAAATTGCAAGCTAAAACACATGTTAACTAACACACACGCATATGCACGCATGCGGCGGCACTCATGCCACATTTCCAAAACTGTTAAAAAAACACAGGACACAAAAGAGACGAAAGACATGGAGAGTGTAAACGCAATCCCCATTCTTAATTAGTTAGTAGACAGCTAATAAAAACTGTGGTAGTAATGGCAGAATGAGTGCCAGGTGGAGGGAGGGAGGGCAGAAGAGCGGGAGGGAGGCTGCTGGCCTTAAGGACCTATGATGGTTTAATAGTCAAATTGAGAGCAGAAAAGAGTTACAGGCCTGTAAGTAACAGTGAAGTGAGGCAGCCAGGGCTTGATGTGGTCCGCTTTAAACTGGCCTTTAAACCGTTAATACACAAAAGCTGCACTACACAGACCAACACAGACGCTATAGTTACACCCTCTTCCCTGTAATGGTTGGCACTTTGTTTCACTCCCTGCTTCTGTCTGTCTTTTTGCTTTTTGCATATCATAGCCTGGAGACTTGCATATGAAAGTGGGTTGCTGCAAAATGGGGCAGCAGAAGTAAGAGCGTTCTTCTATACGTGACAGCGAGGTTTATGGCTCCCCTGTGCTGCTTAACCACTTCTCCTCCTCTTTCTTTCATGAAAGAGGGATGATGAAGGATAGATGTGCTGGTAAACATCAATACTGCATTAGCCAGCATTACAAAGCCTTCAGCCATTAACACTGAGGAATGGTCACAGCCTAGCATAAGGTTCAATGGGGGTCACCACGATCACCAGCCGCCCCACACCCATCTTTTTCCATGTTGCTATTTTGCTCTGTTTTGAAAATGGATTCAATAATCGCTGAGTCGTCTGTCCCATTTTCTTACTAGTTTATTAGTATGTTTTTGTGTATACTCGTTGGGGACATTCATTAGTACAGAATAACAGTGACTTCTAGAAGTGTCCAACGTGTCACACTTGTAGCTAAAGATAATTTCCAACACAAGTTCCTTGATGGGCATTGATAGTTTAGGTAATCATTAAATGACTGTACATGACACACTTCAAACACAAGGACAACCTTCCATGGCAGTACACAGATAATGACTAGTTGGTGTCAACAGCTCTGGTCAATGTTTAACCACACCTTGAAAGCTGAAGAAAGCTCTAAAATACTGAATACTAAAAATGCTCAATTTGGTCGAGCTAGCAGGTAGCACAATCCAGAGGGTTGAGCCTTTAATCAAGGATGCAGTTCGTTTGCAATTTTGTTCTGATATGTACTAAAACCAGCATAGCGAGTAAAAGAAAGACTCCTATAATCACCCATAAATGTTGATGTTAACATGCATTAAGAACCGACTGACCCCTTCTCCTCCTTTCCCAGACTGGGTTTGGACCCCAAGCTGCTGGCAAAGATCCTCAACATGTCTTCAGGTCGTTGCTGGTCCAGTGATACGTACAATCCAGCCCCTGGCGTCATGGAGGGAGTCCCCTCTGCCAACAACTACCTGGGGGGCTTTGGAACCACACTAATGGCCAAGGTACAACCTGTCCCCTGTCTTTAAGTCACTTTCTTGATTAAGCTTCTTTTCGTCATTCATTTTTTTTTACAATAAAAGGCTTGTTAGGTAGATCCAACATTTCAAAACAAAAACACAAAATATAATAAAATTAAACAAAGTCCCAAATCTTCATATTTTGTTGAAGCTGGATTTTTTTTTCCCAGGATAATAACCTTAATGGTTAATAATTTATCAAAGTTGTTAGAATCTAATGTAGTCCTAATTGACTAATTATTTTAGCAACTACGGCTAATTTGCCCTTTTTCTTTTCTTTTTGTCTGTTTTTTGTCAATCTCTTTCTCTCAATCTCAACCCTGTCATTTATTTTGTGTCCCTTTTTAACTGCTCTTTTGTCTGTGTGTGATACTCCCACTCTCCTCCTCACCATCCCATCTGTGACTTATTGTGCGCCACTTCATTTTACTGTCACTGCATTAGCTCTTCTGTATGGGTCAGTCTGTGCCTGTGTATTATTTAGTGCATCTGGGGGTCGTTTAATACACTTGCAATGTGTGCTCTGCATACATAAGCCTGGGACGTTAAATTAACACACCAAACTTCTGATAAAATAAGGATATTTATTTGATCAGCCTAGATATACAGAAATAGATTCTATGTTAGTGTAAAAACCCTGCCTCTCTTTCTCCGTCTATCTAGGATCTTGGTTTGGCTCAAAACACTGCCACCAACACTAAGACACCCATCCCTCTCGGTTCCCTCGCCCACCAGATCTTCAGAGTCATGTGCGCCCGCGGCTACGCTAACAAGGACTTCTCATCCGTCTTCCAATTCCTACGTGAGGAGGAAGGACAGTGAATGGAGGGGGAGCACAGTTAACTGTGATGTGACCATACATAAACCCACATGCACACACTACAACCACACACCCCAGTGCCCCTTATCCCACTATGCTCAGGAGAGACGAAGGTCTTACCCTCCGGCGCAGATCTGCGCTCCAATTAACATACTGTATGTCGCAACATGTCCCCTCATAGCATTAGCTGAATCATATTTTCAATTCACGACTCTCTCCCTGCATGGGGGAAATGCTAAAACTGACCTTAGATCAGTATCTAGAGACAAAGCAACTCTCTTCCCAGTCTGGGCTGAGAGTGGAAAATGAGAAGTAGGATGAAGCGCTGAAGGCTTATGGATAGCATTCAAATAATATGTGGATTTTCAAGATGATTGATAAGTAATAACTGCATGATTGTTCAAAGTTAAGGTATGCTTTTGTTGGGTTTGTGCTGCGTATTGCCTGTTACCCAAATGACCTCTGGCCTGTCATTGCTAAATAAATGAGGACAGAAAAGAAAGCTACAGTAAGGATTCACATAGTGATGGACTTTTCATTGAAGAGACAGTGCAAGAGAGTGCAGAGTTAAAGGCACCCCATTTCTATTGGGAGAAGAGAAAATCCCATATTCTCAACATGTAAGGTTGAGCTAGCCACACCATGGACTCAAAGTTCACTTGTTTTGTTACATTTGTCTGTTTATGGCAGGGAGGTGGATGTCATTCAATCACCTCCTCGTCATGTGAGTCATCCTGCCAGCAAAACTTTGTATTTGTTGATTTCATTTTTCAGTCATCCAGTTTATTTTTCACGTTTCATTTTGTAACAACATTTGCATCAGCCCTCACTGGATAGACCACTCAACTTCTGCATTACAACTTTAAATACTGTGATATATACCTGGTTATTTTTGCACTGTGTGCATCGCAGTGCGATGTGCCGGGCCATTTTGATACAGTTACAGAATCTTTCAAACTTACCTCAACCGTATACATCTGCTTATCGAGCCACTCGAGTATTATTTTGTGACCAATCTACTCTTCACTACAAAATGTTGTTCTCATTGTCTAGCACTTTCTCTCGCCAGGTTTGACTTTGAATATCTCTCCTCTCTTTCTCTCTGTCTCTCAACTTGTACGACATCCATGTAAAGTGTAAGCGAGGAACATTTCCTCCCTGCTCTAAACAAATGTACATAATGTATATTTCATATTGTTGCGTAGTATTGAAGAAGAATCGAAATGGACTGTCACTTTTGTAGTAAAATTCATTAATAGTGTCTACAGTTTGTCTTTGCTCTGTTAAACAGATCCTCAGTCACGCTGTAACCTAAAATAAAAGATGTTCTGTGTATCGGCTGTTTGTCTGGTTTTGTAAGATTAGTGTAATAATAATTTGTAATAACTTGACAGATAGCACTACTTCTTCAGCAACATGCAGATGTTGCTGAAGAAGTAGTGCTATCTGTCAAGTTATTGACATAGGTGAACAAAGAATAACCTTTGAGAGTGACTCTGTGGCCATTTTACTTTTAAATGAATGAGAACATAAACGCCCAAATAGTTCAGTAAGATTGATCCTCTAGGGACCATAAATATCTGTACAATGTTTATCAATATACCGAATAGTTGTGATATTTAGAGATAGTGGATTCATTTTCTAACTTTTGAGATCATACCACCATCTACTGATAAGGAACTAAGCATTTGAAGAATATAGGTAAAACATTTGACCTAGTATGTGCTCATTACTTTCATCCAGTAAGAGGCGTCGCTCCTTTGATTCTCTCTGTGAAATCTCTTCAGTTTTTTAAAAGGTTTTATTTGTGTTTTCTAAGTTTTTTTCTCATTCAATTTGAGGACTTTGATGTATAGATCATGAAGCCCTTCAGTGGTGAACTTATGTTTGTTCGGTATACCAACTTAACTCGATCAATTTACAGGTTAGGTGACCCAGAGAAAATAAACACAATTGTCAGTCTTCTTTACCTCTGCTTATATCCAGCCATCCTGCTCTTCAGTGGGCTGTTGTTCCACTCTTTCTGCAAAGCTCTTCAGCAGGCCCTCATATAGTGTTTAACGTCAGACGGGGAGAAATAGCAGCACTAATCTCAAAATGATGCCCTTATTTCCATCATTACAATGAAATGAGGGGAAAAAAACAAATGCGGTTTTGTTTTTTATTTTACTCTCTTTTTCTGAGGGCTGGTGTTCTTTCGCGACATTTTATGGAGCTGCTGTCGTCTAAGTGGCAGCCGCAGTTGTAGCAGACTGGCGAGCCGTTGGTGGCAGGGGTTTTGTCGTGGGCTTGTGACTCACTTAATGTTATTGTTCCTTTGGAAGTATGCACTTGCTGAGTGCTTTGAAGATTGTCCTCATCTGATAATAACAAGTAGTATTTCTAGGATTAAATTAAGAAGCTATTGACATATCATACATGTATCTTCTTTTCTACCAACACCATCTTGGACAGTCAAACAATAGACTGGCCTTCCTAGCTAAAGAAGAGCTACGCCTCTGCCGAATTAGGCAGTGTAGCTGATTCATATTTGGGTGTTTTAATTTGCCTGTGTTTTTATAGCAGGCTGCTGAGCCGGCGGTTTCCTCATTAAAGGACACATGAAAGCAGCCTGTAAAGGAGCCTTGGTGAGACCGGCCTGCACTGACGTCTGAAGGGGATGCGAGCGACCGAAGGACCGAGTCCCGAGCCAGCCGGTCTGAGCCGGAGGGCCTCACCCACTCAGCCAGGCAGCCAGTGGTGGGACACCAGACACACCACACTGAACTGTGTCCACTCCAGGATACGACACCAGTCTGATGTGTCAGCAGGAGTTCACTGTTTGAGGCACCACTAGTGTTTGTATTGTGGTATTGGACAATAGTGCAGTCTGAGATGAAAGAATTGGCCTTATTACTTTTTCAAGGATCGTGCAACCCTACCCTATGACAGTAGTTCTCAGACTTTGAAGGTAAACCCTCCTGGTTTCTCCCCCCCATGCCATTTAGAGAATAAAAAAGCATCTACTATGAGAGTTGCTGCTGTGATATATACCTGGGGCGACAGCATTCATTATTTCACTATTATAACCGCTGGTGGATCCTCTTGGCTGTTTAACGACTCACTCTATAAGGAAGTAAGAGCTGTGGGGTCACAGCTCAGTGAGGGGGGGTGTGAGGCTCCTCTAAGCACCCTGTGATTCATATCAAACGCACGTTAAGTGGCATGTGGCTAAATTAGTGGCTGGATACTAGCAGGTATAATAGCTTGCGCGGCGGTGCGTAACGAGCCACTGTCTCACTGTGGAGTAATGTTGCCTTGATATTTTTTACATTAACCCACCAATAGTAGACGGGCCATTTAGCCCGAGCCGTATCCGCACCCACAGCGTCTGAACATCAGCACAACACCCACACAAGTTTTCTTCCTGTTTTGAAGACAACATTCCCCCATCCTGAGTCATTGACTCCGCTTAGGTTCATTAGTGAAGATAATTCTATTGCAGACAGCGGGTCAGCACACAACATGTCACGACGACAGTGAGGCACATAACAACATCTAATTATAACTATGAAGTCCTCATTAGAATATCAAGAGGGGTGTAGTGAGTTGTTGTGAAACAAGGACCCACTACCTGGTTAAAGGTTGCATTAAACAACATAAGTGAGGATCTGGAGGAGAAAGGACCCCATATAATCAGCCCCCTGTCTTCTCATGCCACCTTGTTTTCAATCACTTTTCCTTCATTTGCAACTTGCTCCAAGCTGGAAATGGAAAGGCGTGCATACGGTTGAATCAACGTGTTGCCTGTTTTATAAGACATTAACATCCTCCAAAGTATTGATTAATTCATACTTTCCTAACCTATCCTGCTCTGGCTTTCTCTTGCTGGACTTTCCTCCCCACATTACCCCCCACACACCCTCTGTCACCTGTGAGTAACAACACCACACACACTCAATTCATCACACACTACTGCACATGCTCAGTAGCTTTTCATTATATGAATTACTCTCATTGGAAGAGTGATCATCAGCCCCGTCAGAATCCATCAAGGCTTGGTTCCCACAGAGACCCAGGCCCGGTAAATAATCACGGGTGTCGGTACCAGGATTCTGGCCCTGTCGTTCCCATCGGACACAACAGGGTGGGCCCTAAACACCCAGGGGGGTGCTGCTCTCGCTGAGCCACATTCATCTCTGCCAACAGTAGAGGGAGAAGGTACCGCTGTAAGGCCGGTTCCAGAGGCGGCTGGTGCTGTTTCAGACCTGTAATGTAAGCAGAGGGTGGGAGAGAGCAGAATCTGATCCAGGCTCAGCAGTCAGTAGGGAATAATGCATTCTGTTTTACTACAACCTTTGGAAAGGTGTATGAGGATCTCTGGAATAAGCTGTGTGTGGTAATAATGGTTTCAAATGAAAAATGAGACATGAAGTGCAAAAAAATACAAACATGACCATGAGAGAAACCATAGGGTTAGGTTCACAAAAAGCATGCTGTGTGGTTCATCAAACTGTAGAAAGTTAACATACAGATTCAAGTTGAGAGGCACAAAAAAAAAATCAAGAGTATCTGTTGACACGGCATACTGATTAGATACCAACAATCCAAAATGTCAAGACTCTAAATACACCAGCTGAACATTGCATCTGGCCTCATCTTGCTCTGTTTAAAACTCTCTTCATGGCCAATTGACCTGATAGCTCACTCTTGTCTCTTGCTAATTGAACAGAGAAGGAATGAGAGCGAAAAGGAGAGAGAAAGGAAGAAAGTGAGGGGGACTGAGGAGGAAGGAATGATGTGATAGAGGCTGAGAGAGCGGAGAGAAGTGAGGGGTGGTGTAGCATGCAAGGCCTCATTGATTAGGTGGTGAGCGGTGCAATGTTTCTCTCCTGACGCTTACACGCATTAAAGCTACATAAACACCCATAATTGGTTCGTTTAGAGCAGAGTGGAGGAAAACAGCACACACATACAGCAATCATTGTCTGTATGTGTGCAAGGAATATATATATAGAGAAAAGAGCAGCAACATTAAATGCTTATAAACAGGCATCGCATGCTTCTAGAGTGGTTAGTGTGGGTGGAAAGAAAGATGCATATGAGTGTGTGTGTGTTAGTGTGTCTGTCTGTCTGTGTGTGTATGTGTGTCACATGTCTCAGTGCTGTACTAAGCAGGAATGATAAAACCATCCGTAGAGACTTGGGATGACAATAACACTCACTTCAGGGAGACGAAGAAATGGGAGGGACACTGCTGACTGTGACAAATTAGCTCTCAAATATCGAGGCAGCTGATTGGCTGTGGGCGTCAGGAGGGAGAGACACGGTTGGCTGGCTGAGTTGGCGGGTAGTTATTATGCCATTCTAATAAAATAAGATGCAATTTTGGGGCTTTTCAGTTCAATGATAGCTGTGGAGAGCTGCTCAGCACTGTCATGTGGAATCCTGCAAAGTGTGTTTGTGCTCATCTGAGCATCTGTGCGGTTCTGACTATGTCCTGGAGCTCACAATAACACACAAACGAGGTAAAGCAAAAAGACAGTACAAGAAAATTAGACAGCTATAAGAGCTGTCCGTCCTGCAGCACTGATGTCAGTGAGTCCTTCTCTTGGATGACAGTGCATGCGAGAGGCAATATTCAGTGTGTTCCCTGCATCCCGTAGCGCCATATCCATCAGGTCATAAGACCCCCTGACAAGGCGTAAGTGACCCCCCTCCTCATGTCCCACCCCAGAGGGCTGTGTCACTGGCTGAATGGAGCACTCCCTGGACGTGGAATGATGGGATTCCTCGGTCTTGGCTGTCATCTCTAATCCGACACTCTCACCCGCACAGCTGAATCTTCATCTCTCTCTCTCATGATGTGCACTGCATACACACACACACACACACGGAACTTTCGTACTCCATCTCTCAAGAGTGGGCCACAAATACATTTGCATTCACTGCCAATTCAGTATCAACATCGCTGAATCTACATAACGTTGACGTGTCCAGGTGCTAAGTCACCATTATGTCTCCCTCCGATACACACACACTCAGGGGAAGGGGCAGGCAGGTCACAGTGGCCCCAGAGCACTGGACTGTGCTAAGCAGGTAAATATAGCGCGGACAGGCTTTATTAGAATAGAAAAAGCTCTGTTACTGTCACAAGTAAGCATGAGCGATTGGGAGGGGTCTCTTCCTCCACGGCCAGAGTCCAACAGTCGGCCTCAGCTTTTCTGAGAAGCCTCCACACTTTTCAATTGTGCCTTTTCTACACCATGCCAAGTTCCTTCCTACTTTAATTATTCCAGTCTCAAAAGGAGGTATCCGGAGTCTGGCGTGTGCACCCTTTAAAATTATTAATAACG